AAACAATTGTGTGGGGCTTTCCATCCACACAATAAGAGGAAAACATAGTGTGGATGCTTCACAGCATCCATACAATAATAATAACTAAAGAACAGAAGAGCATAAACTGCACAGTACAATAGTAAATACAGGACCAGACCAGGCCAGATCTCACCTGTCTGATCTAGGGGGCCATGCTGTCATACTGTGCTATAACCTTAAATACTTAAAGCTGTATTTTTAATTTTCTCCAGGCTACAGCTTCAGAGAAATGTTCATTTTTATTTTGGATTTTTACTGTACATTTTAGTGCAGACATGTAGGTTGAAATAACAATTAACTTGACATCCCTGAACAAAACCGAACTCGAGCCACTGATGTGACAACACTGCCCATTGTGCTTCCATTGTACTCCTTTTTCCACCGTTTTCCGCTGCTGTAGTGTAGGAAAATGCAGCACTTCATTCATTCAAGAATCAATGTAATGTTTCATCGGAATAAAATCTAATGACCAAATATGTTCACTACAAAACATATCTGCGTTTGCAGTGTAGTTATATAGACTATAGAGGAATATAATTTTTAGATGTGAGTGAGTGTCTTTTTGACCAAGACTGGCCCTGAAGTGCAGAAAAAGTCAGTGGTTTTATTCAGGAGAGCATAAAAGAGCAACAGAGCCTGAGGGCAACAGTCTCCTTTCTATAGCAGAGTTGACAACCTTGATTTAAAATGAAAATAATTTTGACATAATGCAATAACTGCCAGTGGCATGATGTCTCAAAGGCCTGAGCATGTACTCATAATGAAATAGTAGTTATTACTGTGACAGACATGGACACTGGTTAATATGTAGGCAGCCACTGCTAACCAGGTGCCTCAGCTCGGTTAGGTGTCCTACTGTATTCATCCACCAGCAGGTCTGGACATTAACAGAAGGATCAAATTATCAGTCAGCCGCAGTAAACTACAACAAACACTGCTCCACCTGGTGGATATGTACAACAATGTGGGTAGCTTGCACACTCGGTGCTTAGGGGTGTTAACAAGGCAGCGCTGAGACCACTGCGTCATTGTGGGGGACACAGTGTGAGAGCAGGAGCCATGTGTGGACCTGTCACAGATCGGACATGGTTACACTGAGGTCCAGTCAGAAAGTTATACAGTAAACATTAGTATACTGGCCTGGTGTGTTACCTGCTGCATGCGTAGCGACTCCAGCTCTCTCTCTAGTCTTGTACGAAGTCGATGCTCGAGTTGTTCTCTCTTCTCACAGGCCGCCTGGAGCTGAGCTAGAGCCTGCTGCATCCTCTCCACCTTCTCCACATATACCTGTTTCTTCTTCAGCTGCACACACAGACAGAAAGAGGGAATAGTTACATTTTCTTGTGCTATTTCTCCTTCACATAAGACCAAACAGATGGGGGAAGGACCACACTGTTCTGACCACAGGCATTGCAGCTTTAAAGTCCAGGTAAAGCAAAGTCAGTAATTTGTTTCTAAACACATTATCAGTGTTTGAAAATAGTTGCTGAAAAGATGTGAAAAGACTGAGAACTATGTACATGTGCATCTCAATAAATGCCGTTCCCAGCGCCTCTGAGCCGCTCCATATCCAGCTGATGAGAATCAGCTGTGAGCGTCTGCAGGGAGAGAGACAGGAGCGAGAGACGCGGCGATGAGCAAACTGACATCTGCATGAAGTTTAATATATACAGCACTCTGTAGTGTTATTCCACTGTTGTATTATGTCAAAATACTAAAACAAATTGAAGGAACCGTGGTGATTTATAATTACAGACTTTTTCCTTCCAGCGTATTTTTTTGACTGCAAGCCTAAGGAGCAGTGAGACGGTATACGCCGGAATGTGCGACTTAAGCAAATACCTCCATCTCTTCGCAACGACAATTACACAGCTGGATTCTGACAATTTTATCTATGAGTTTCATGCATTATATGTGTATAAAGCTTAAGAACGGCATAATACGAGCACAAAAGCAATGAGGAAGAGGAGAAGCATAGAGAAAGCTGCTAGACCGGGGGGTCACATGACGCACAGCTGCCAATGGCATTGCAGAGTATTGGCCCATTCGTTGTCTATGGACAAATAGACAAAATATAAATGTCTATTATAAAGAAACCATAAAAGATATCAAGATGATATTTGCACCATTGGTAGCTGAACGTCTCACATGTTGAATAGAGTTGAAATGGCATTTCTAGCCCAAGGTATGCCGGAGATATTAAGCTTCCAACTTTGCTCCATTCATTTCCACTGGGAAAATTTCTGTAAAAAAGCGGAATATCTTAAAAAGTATAAAAGTTATACACAATAAGAGGAAAACATAGTGTGGATGCTTCACAGCATCCATACAATAATAATAACTAAAGAACAGAAGAGCATAAACTGCACAGTACAATAGTAAATACAGGACCAGACCAGGCCAGATCTCACCTGTCTGATCTAGGGGGCCATGCTGTCATACTGTGCTATAACCTTAAATACTTAAAGCTGTATTTTTAATTTTCTCCAGGCTACAGCTTCAGAGAAATGTTCATTTTTATTTTGGATTTTTACTGTACATTTTAGTGCAGACATGTAGGTTGAAATAACAATTAACTTGACATCCCTGAACAAAACCGAACTCGAGCCACTGATGTGACAACACTGCCCATTGTGCTTCCATTGTACTCCTTTTTCCACCGTTTTCCGCTGCTGTAGTGTAGGAAAATGCAGCACTTCATTCATTCAAGAATCAATGTAATGTTTCATCGGAATAAAATCTAATGACCAAATATGTTCACTACAAAACATATCTGCGTTTGCAGTGTAGTTATATAGACTATAGAGGAATATAATTTTTAGATGTGAGTGAGTGTCTTTTTGACCAAGACTGGCCCTGAAGTGCAGAAAAAGTCAGTGGTTTTATTCAGGAGAGCATAAAAGAGCAACAGAGCCTGAGGGCAACAGTCTCCTTTCTATAGCAGAGTTGACAACCTTGATTTAAAATGAAAATAATTTTGACATAATGCAATAACTGCCAGTGGCACGATGTCTCAAAGGCCTGAGCATGTACTCATAATGAAATAGTAGTTATTACTGTGACAGACATGGACACTGGTTAATATGTAGGCAGCCACTGCTAACCAGGTGCCTCAGCTCGGTTAGGTGTCCTACTGTATTCATCCACCAGCAGGTCTGGACATTAACAGAAGGATCAAATTATCAGTCAGCCGCAGTAAACTACAACAAACACTGCTCCACCTGGTGGATATGTACAACAATGTGGGTAGCTTGCACACTCGGTGCTTAGGGGTGTTAACAAGGCAGCGCTGAGACCACTGCGTCATTGTGGGGGACACAGTGTGAGAGCAGGAGCCATGTGTGGACCTGTCACAGATCGGACATGGTTACACTGAGGTCCAGTCAGAAAGTTATACAGTAAACATTAGTATACTGGCCTGGTGTGTTACCTGCTGCATGCGTAGCGACTCCAGCTCTCTCTCTAGTCTTGTACGAAGTCGATGCTCGAGTTGTTCTCTCTTCTCACAGGCCGCCTGGAGCTGAGCTAGAGCCTGCTGCATCCTCTCCACCTTCTCCACATATACCTGTTTCTTCTTCAGCTGCACACACAGACAGAAAGAGGGAATAGTTACATTTTCTTGTGCTATTTCTCCTTCACATAAGACCAAACAGATGGGGGAAGGACCACACTGTTCTGACCACAGGCATTGCAGCTTTAAAGTCCAGGTAAAGCAAAGTCAGTGATTTGTTTCTAAACACATTATCAGTGTTTGAAAATAGTTGCTGAAAAGATGTGAAAAGACTGAGAACTATGTACATGTGCATCTCAATAAATTAGAATATCATGGAAAAGTCCATTTATTTCAGTAATTCAACTCAAATAGTGAAAGTCGTGTATTATATAAATTCAGTACACACAGACTGAAGTAGTTTAAGCTGTTGGGTCTTTTAATTGTGATGATTTTGGCCCACATTTGACAGCTTCTCTCCTGTATATCACTGCAATGTATTTTATGTCTTGTTTTGACTGTTCATATCGAAGTGAATGCGTGCCATCTGGAACGGCACCAAAGATGTATTTTAGTATATTTTGTGAATAAAACAGACACTAATATAGGAATGTAATGAGGGAAGACCCAAGTATCAAACACACTACTTTATGAAAATCTTTTACTGTTCAGACATAGATTAGTCACTTTATTCTTTACTTCAGTTGTAATTACACTCTGCAGTTATTCCTATCCACAAACACCAGTGGACACGACAGTATAAAGCACATCCAAGTTAAACAGACAAGTCAGCAAATCGGTGAGGAAACAGTGGTGTCATATAGCAGGACAACGCCAGGCCAAAACACTACGAGCTGCCAAGGAAAACATCAGTAACCAAGAGGTATGAGCCTGTTGCCAAGAAACCCACAAACAAAGTGATCTGAGCTTTTCTTTACACAGAGAGTTGCTCGGTTCTTATAAATGTGAAAATCAGAAACAAATAAGGCTCTATGAATTTACAGAACAGTGGGCTTGTTTACATGCATGTGTTCAACTGGCTGGGAATAAAAAACCCGATGGACCACGTGGGCCAGAGCCTGCCAAAGGTTTTATTCATTTTCTACTGCGCAAGGAATCTTTATTTTCTCTGCAAAAAAAAAAAAAATCAAACCAAAATTATTTTATCATAGGTCACTGCTGATTTTCCAAGCCTTGCGGGGTGGAGCTAAAGGTGTACGGAGGGGGTTCCTGGACCTTTTCAGCTCGAGATCTGAAAGAGAAATCTGGCCTCTCTTCAGGACCCAAATTTACAAAAATACATAGAGTTGCTACAACATCTCCATCAGTAAACTACCGATAATGAACGCAACAAACCCTGAATTTAAATTGTTGCCTATATGAAATATATATATTATTTAATTATAAAAGTATATTTGCTGAGAGTAAATTTGTCAGCACCTTATAACAAACTTGTATGAAACAAACATTAGTGGGACTGTCTGTCAACAGCATTGGACAGACCAGCCTTAACACAGGCAGCTACATTTGTTTTGTATTATGCAACATATCTGCCATTCATTTTACTTCATGTAATGCAACAGTACATAACATTTGAAGAATAGTCAGATCAGATCATGTGCATTGATACACAGCACTCAAATTCAATTCATCCATCCATCCATTTTCTATACCGCTTAATCCCAAACGGGGTCACGGGGGGCTGGAGCCAATCCCAGCCAGCTGTGGGCGAAAGGCAGGGTACATCCTGGACAGGTCGCCAGTAATTCAATTCAGTCACACAATAAAATTAAAGAGAATGTAGAATCTGTGCTGGTTCCTTCTCCCTCCTCCTCCATCCTCTCTCTTTCTTTTTATCTCTGCCAAGGAGGTCATGTGTTTGGTTCTGTGTGCGTGTGTCGGTTAACAGGACAAACAGTTGGATGGCTCATCAGCATTCTTGGTACAGACACTAGTGGGGACCATCCAGGGGCTTTGCTAGACATAGAGCTCTACACAAAGCCCCCATTACTCAAATCACACTTTGTTTTCTTGAATATCTGCTGCATGAATGAAATGTGCTATATGAACTTCCTTTGCATAGACCACTGGTCCACTGCCATGCTGCTGCTCCTGAAGCTCAAACATGTTTTCTCTGTGTGGTATCTCTATCATCACAGTAGCCCAATGTATAGTTATGGTTTTAAAAAAGCACATGAACTACAGTATAGCTATGGCAGGTGCATGTAAGGGCTTCCCTGCTACTCCTTAAGCCTGATATATGCTTCTGTGTTGAATCTGTGCAGAGCCTATGCTGTAGGCTATGCACATGGCCTACGCCTTTGTGAGTATTTACACTTGTGCACTGATGTGTCTGCGTTGCTCTGCAATTAGACTGCCGAAATGTTAGTTGGTGATGGGGTTTCTATTCCACTGTGTCACATTTTTTGCCACGCACAAACAATGGTGACTGAAAACGTTTGACCTTGGACAGTGCTCTAAGTTCAAAAAAGCTAGATTTGACAACTGAGTTGATTTGTCTAACAAACAGAACTCCCAAATTCCTGGCAAAGGATTTAAAGTAAGAAGCTAGTGAGAGAGTCAACTGTTCTGTGTGCTAAGAGGCCAAAACTTTACTGTTTCAGTCTTATTGTCATTCAGGTTGAGAAAATTCAACATCCAAGTGTTAGGTATTTTTAGTCAGATAGACATTGGTTAGACACTTCATGTATTAGAAATGTTTAGTGTAGACAGGATGTCTAGCTCAGGCTGTTAAATGCTTAGTCATTCCCATAGGGTACTCCAGGTTGTTCATGTTCAAGGATAACTAGATAGAAAGTTGATTACTGTTAGGAGACAGAATGTTTATTATTATTATTGACGTGTTTAATCATAATCATAATATTTTCTTATGTTTAATGTCATGACATGTCACTAGATGTCATGTCAGAATGTCTTAGATACACACCACACAATCACCCATTGATTTTCTTCATGGTTTGACTACTGCTATGGTCAGCTGCAAAGCTGGCACCGGAGACGTCACGGTTTGGCATCCCTGAGTAGTATGGGGCTAGCTCAAAGTGATATAATATATAGGCCTGTTATGGTTGGGGGCTTTTCATCTTCCAGCTGCCTGCGTGCATGTTGGAGGTGCAAAGACTCCTGAGCGTGTAATGTAAATTTTACCTGTTCATTGAATAAATCAGCACTGTTTTGAAGTTACTCTGACTGCTTCATCTCTCAGAGTTAACGTGGTGAAAAGAACGGGGGTCCAACAAATGGTGCCGTGACGCCGTGTGCCAGTTAAACTCTCAGACTACCGGTCCGTCGTTCCGGATCAGCGCATGCCGTAATCCTGTGCCTGGCTGAGCTGTAAATTCAACATTTGATCCTGAATTGGCTGGGACTCCGAGATGGAAGAGTGACTTCCTGTGTCTCTGTCGAGCTGTGTTGCGGTGTCACACATCAACTGGTCGACCACAAACAAGGTAAGCAGGATAAACCTTTGTTATACATAAAGCCTGCACATTGAACTTGTACCAAATTTTGTTGATGTGTGGACTGCCCACTCTCAACGCATTAAATTGGATTCAAAAACAGTAAGGATAAAAAAACACATTTGTTTTTGGAAGGATGTGCTGATCTGTTCACTGACACACGTAACAGTTAACAAGCACATACTCTCACTTTGTGGGATAGAGAATGAGTGCCGTTGATTACAGAATTTGATACCAATAAGGGACGTAAAATTCACGTTTTTATGAGTGACAGTCCGCTACCTCACAGCAGGTTGTCTCTCCAAAAGTCTGATTTCTTTTTGATTTGCCTCCGGTTGGAGCACAGGCAGAGAGTCATCTTGACTGAACAGATGATCTCTGGTAAATCCTAAACGTAATAAACGGCACAGTGAAATGGCCAGTTTGTTGTTCTTTATAAAAATGTGGAGGTGGTTAACTGCATAACAGGCCGATTAAACATTGTTCACAGTCATATCGGAGCAAAACAATAGGTTCAGTTCTGAAAATTCACTGTGATTCAACGCGCCTTGTGCAGCTGTGTATTTGGTCCGGGTGGTACAGCTTACTGGGGACTGTTTATTAGCCTTAGGGTGGCAGCTGTCCTGATTGAGATATAACAGTGTAATCGATATGGGAAACCCCCAGGAATTGAGTGCACCAGGATTATCCTGGCGTAGAAGCTTCGCAGTTCGGTCGATACACTGGGCACAACCTCTCATAACGGACAGCGTCACGTGTGGCGTAAATATCCTTCAATATGGCTGATTGCAATATTATTCAGAACTGGCAGAAATGCAAACCAGGGACTCTAGGTGCTATTTTGTATCAGCTTTTAAACAAATGGTTGAGCACGTTGCATCCCAGTCAGCACAGTAGTAAAACACAGCATTTTGTGTTGTGGTTCGAACAGATGTGAAAGGTATGTTTAATACCTATGACGAAGCTCCCCCAGAAGAGGGAGCTCTAAGACTGTATGTGAAACAGGCAGCACAGTCCGCGGCCAAGGCACGTTTATGTCATAGTCGAGCGTCTTTATTACAGAAACACAAAACGGAGGCTAAACTTAAACACTGTGAAACATTTCTTCAAGACTGTCTTTGCTTTTTGGCTGAATTTGAAAAAATTCAGAAAGCTGCAGCCAGTGTAAGTGAAGCGCAAACACCTGCTACTCTTTCCAGTGACACACACACAGACAGAGAGCTGTTCTCTCAGGCGCACGCACACACAGGCTTAGATAACAGCCTACAGCAGGCTGAAGGAAGCTTACAGACTTTCTCACTGATTACAGGATGGTTCATGATCTCAGAGCTGTAAATAAACTTGTGGTTCCAACAAATTATGCTACGCCAAATCCATACACCATGTTGAATGCAATAACACAAGTTTTTCCACATGCATTGACCTTGCCAGTGCCTTCTTCTCTGTGCCCTTGCACAGAGACTCACAGGACATGTTTGCTTTCACGTACAAAGGGCAATAGCTTGCCTACAGACAGTTACCTATGGGCTTTATTGACAGTCCATCCATCTTTAATCACATTCTGTGGCAAAACTTGAAAAATCTTTCTCTCCCAGCTGGAGTCTGTCTCTTTCAGTATGTTGATGACTTGTTGTTAGCTGCTCCTGACTCAGAGAGCATAATGACAGCCACGGGCGCATTGTTGACACATTTGGTACAGGGAGGCTTCAAAGTCTCCAAGGATAAGCTGCAGATAGAA